GTGATTAGATTTTGTTTGGTAAAGACAGTTCTAGCTGTTTCGGAGATATAGAGCTAAGTGTGCAAAAATGGCAGTTTTTGAGAGAACTGAGCATTCGATTTGAATGATTTGAAAAACTTTCTGATCTCATTTTTTTTAATTTTTAAAAGTATTTCGGATTTTAATTCTAATTCTAGCTAAAATTCTAAACATAACTTATATACTTCAAATAAATAATTTTAACTTTGATATTCAGTTTATGTAATACATAGAAATATTAGACAATGTTTTTCATTTTAAATCCGATTGATTAAGTTTTGTTTACTAACTTTTTATAAAATAAGAGTAATGAAAGTTACATTATTTACAATAATCTATTTAAATCATTTAATATTTCTCGAATGTTTAATTAAGTTTGAATTAAGGTACGGGAAGTACCAGCAATTTGCCTTAAGGTACGATGCCATACAATAAAAAAATTCAAACGATTTTGTATAGAAATGATTTTTTCTGTAGATTTCAAGAACTTTTAGGTAAAAAAATCTGGAGAGTCTCTATTAATTGGATAAACAATTTTATTAACTGATGGAGAAGTTTGTTTTTGTCAAAAAATTAGATTTGTTCATTTTGTTTTTTCGGCGTTTCAAGCCATCCTGAATCGAATGAGACCACATTTGGAAAGAGTATGTGTGTGTATGTGAGCTGATTTTTGATCTTTCGTCGACGTTTTTTCGAAAACGGCTTGACCGATTTTAAAAATTTGAAAGCCATACTATGTAACTCGATAAGGACTTACGTCGATAAGTTTTTCACAATCATCGGAGATGCCGTTTCTTTCTTATTAGCTAAAAAGTGAAAAAGAATTTGTTTGGCTTCGCAATGCACTAGCCAGCTTCTCCCTAGAAGTGACAAAAATGTGAGGAAGATGAATCATATGTAAAAGTGTAAAATTGTACTAATGTAAATATCATGATACTGCTTTGCTTATTGATGGAATTTGCTTTGATGATTAAAATCATTTTCTACAAGTAAAATACTTCTGCACAAAGAAGTACCATGTCTTTACTAATCTTTTCAATAATTTACCATAAATTATGTACGAGTTCTAATTTGTTTTATATAATTTATTACACGTTGGAGCTGAACCGAAATGAGCGATGACGGGTTTGATACTTATCCTTGAACTTCGCGCATGAAACCCGAAGATATTATGGATTATGTAAAATTGGTCAATATTAAGTTACAGTTCGTTCATGTCACCAATTTAGTCCGACACACGAAATAGATCGCCACGATCAAGTTACCGCAGGCGCGATTTATGAGCCAGTCTCGAATTCACGACGCAAAGGTGCATTACTCGAAGGATTAACTCGTGACGCCTGCGCGGGGATCGACAATTGATTCGCAAGTTTGGCAATACGAAATTGGCAATCGTTGAATGCAAATCATCGATATAACACTAAAGGTGAAAGAAAGTGAACAAAATGGGAATTTCATCATATAATAATAATAAGACTAATATGTGATCTGCACAAGGGTTGCGAGCTAAGTTAATCTTGCCTATAGTTGTTTCACACCGCTTTTTTACATAAAATGGTAACTTTGATTTATCATAGGGTTAAGCTAGAGGATCTCAATCAGACGTTCCATTTTTGATAGCTGCTTCGGACAGCCTGATGTCCAGGAGTAGTGATATCGGTTTTTACTTGGAAATATAGATAAAGATATGTAAAAATATATTTTTTCGTCATTCCTGCAACAATAAATCATCACTATTACAGAAATTGTAAAATTTTAATTATTTCATAGAGATAGGTTTACCGTGTGGGTCACCATCTAGAAAAGTTACTTAGCATAAAAGCTCAAGCCTCAAGGACTCGTTCAGTTCTGATTGCTTTTTTTATGGTTAATGTCACAGTTCACGCCTTCGAAAGATTATATTGAGGGTGTTTTTCACATATTTTTAGGGTGCCTATTTATTCATATTCGTAATTATATCAAATAACTTATGACAGTACTAGTGATTTCGATCAATTTTATTGCAATAATATAGGTTTAGTGGGATTTGAATTAATTATTTATTTTTGTTTAATTTTGGACAAAATGACATAGTACTATTTAGCAAGCATTACAGTTCCAAGAAAAAAAAATTAAAACTTGTCAAATATGTTTGGCTTCTAACTTCTATTTTATGCATGTAAGAAATGATTCCTTAAATCACACCAAAAGATTCCCCGGTAAAAAGGAGAAACTTGCATTTGTTGCAAAACCCTCTTTTTCCGTTTTGAGTCCGGTTACGATGTATGACTTGTTTCCTTTGGGCTCACGATTTATATACTTAATGTCCCAAAGAGGACAAAATGATTTATTTGTGAACTACTTTCTTAAATGATATACTATATGGAAAAATGGTTTTTATCATAGGTTGCATTTGTCTTTAATAAATAAATAAATTATATCATTAATTTATAGAAATATTTCTTTATGATAAATATTATTAAAAGACGAAGCACATGTTTTGATTTTTTTTAAGTATACTAGTAGGGGGAAGTCCTCCAGTGGCGGACACCTAAGGTTATTTATAAATAAATCAAAAAATATTTTACGAAATGTTCATTAAATTATGACTTATGTTAGATAACAAAGTTAGAAATCAATCTAAATTAACAAAACCGCAATATTTGCTAAAAAATAATTAATATTATCAATCAAACTTCGGTATAAAAAAATATAATTTTAAATAGTGGCACTTAGTACCGGACATTTCAAAATAACCTGCATGTAGCCATCTCCACACTCTGGAATGTCTGCATATGTGTCTTTGATGAATATTCTTAGATATTGCAAGAAAAGTCATTATTTATTCCTCCTTTTGGCTTGGCCACACCGATGCTCTCAACTGGTGCATTTACCATAAGCTTTTCATTCTTCGACTAGGAGATACGAAAATTGGGGGTGTGTAGTGACCATTAGCACTCATACAGAACAAAATTAAATAATTGGAATAAATTACGTATATTCTCACAAGAAATATCAATATATTTACTGTCCGGCACGAAGGGACGACTTAGTGTCCGGTGCCAAGGGACAGACATTTTCGTTCATTTGGTGGCACCTACTAAAATGGGCTAAAATATCTAATAATATTTTACTATTTTACGGATAACAATCAAGTAGAACTTTTATCTTTGCATACCACTCAAATGTGAATGCATAATGCCGGTGCATGGTGCCGTCCGGCGTTACGGGACTTCCCCCTATATAATATCATTATATATTATAATTATAAACAATTTATATTATTGACGCAACAGGTTTCTTCAGAGATCTTAAAATAAAAATAGTTTAGAATTTATAATAATCTTCTTTTTTTTCTTGAATTTATAACAAAGTTCGGAGGTTTGAAGCTAAAGTAGGTGTTAAAGTTTTTTATTATCTAATATAAATTTTACAACAAATACTAAAATGGGTTTGATAACTAATTCACCTTGAGTAGAACGATTGTAGATGTTGCTGAGATGGCACTATCGCCTATTTCTTTTTTCACTGGCTTATATTAGTAATAAGTCGTGTGCGGTTTTATTGCCGCTATTGTGTTGTTGCGATTTATCTACAGTTTCCCGATTTAATGATGCAGATTTATGATAACGGCCTCTGAGCACATGTACTCTGCATCTGTGGTTCATTTGAAATTGCACTTTATGGACCATATTAATTGCTTTACGTCCCAACATATTACTACTAGTGCATTTGAATATTGGAGATTCCATTTACAATGTAGCTATGCGGTCGTTAAAAGCACCGGTAATGATACGAATTTAAGATACTCAATCTTCTGAATATTATTTATTATCTATGGTTAATACATATTTAGCATCAAAATTGCAAGATCAATAGTGGCACTAGTGTACGGTCAACCCATGTTCATCATACACAGCCCTTGACTTTTATTTTGCTTGAACGGCATTTTTAGTTTTGTATCGTAATTTCATCATTTAAAAAGCACCAACCACAAGGTATTTCATAAAATCAATATGCCTGTTTTACAAATGACTTGCTCATTAATAATCATGTGAAACACAAGTTAAGTTGTTTTCCGAATAAGTTAGAGGAGACTGGGTACGGTTGTGCCACTTTTTTTTGTTCAGCAATAACTTTGTTAAATTTCCAGTTAGCTGGGAGAAAAGTAAATTAAATGGTAATTGGAACATTTATCTACAAGGAAATACGGAAATAATGTTCTTAAATACGATTAGTCATAAAATCAAATCATACAAGGAAAGGACGACTGTCACTACCGTCCACACTCGATGGACGGTTGTGGCTGGCATCAAAATAGGTTAAAACCAAAATGGTTTATAATGACTTTTGTAGTCAGAAATATGTAACACAATACAACAAAGCTTATAAATATAATATAACAATATATAACAAACAATAATTTTTTAAACAATAAATCTTTGTGTTTTGTTTTCTTGTATTGTATTTTCCTTTCTCTTTCTCTTTCGTATTTTGTCTTAGTTAGTTAAGTTAGGGTTTTCTTTATTTGTTTAAATTTCATTTCAAAAGAACAAGAGCACAATATATACATATCACATTTAACAAAACTTATTGCTGGTAATTAACTGCTAATATTAAAATTACAGCAAAATAACAAACAAAGAGGGGCTATCTGTATACTAGTAACAGTTATTATTATTATTAAAAGAAATCGAAAAAAAACTTACTTTTGGATCTTTAATAGCAATTCGGTCATTTTAATGTAGGACGCTGGCTCAACGCAATAATGTAAACTTGTTCGAACAAACATACTTCATTTTTCTTTGGATGCTATCTCAAAATCAGTATAGTTTAGCTGTTATGAATACTGTTACTACCGTAACCTGGCACAACCATACCCAGTCTCCCATACTAGATATATCAGATATTTCTTAAGTCATTTGCAACTTCTTGTTTCGATTTGTTATCACAAACATCCATTAGCTTTTTTTAAATAATTTTTGTTATTTTTCTAATTTCAGGAGTTTTCTAATATTTTACCACACTGGCATATTCTGGTAGCACCGTGCCGCCCGTACTGTGGAGATCTCGCCGTAATCCGGGTACGTCAAATTATTTTCATTTTTATTAATATCTAAATTATATAATGAATTTTAGAAAATAAGTTTTATATTTCGAAATTATTAGTAGTATTATTGAGTGCTAAGTTTTTTTAGAACTTGAATTTGAATCATCACTGTAATGATTTTCATCTTGATATCAATACCATCTCTATAAAAATGAAGTAATTTTTATTAATTCAGTTCGGTTTTTGGCTTTATTTATGTTAGAAATGTCGTAATAATATACGGTGAACTTAATCAATTAATAATTAACAAAAGAAATGTACAGCATTTACCAACAACAAAATTCAATTTGCATTTACATTTCATATAGAATATTAAAATATATTGGTGACGAAATATGTTTCTGCTAAATTGCTAAATTTTGGATTCCTTACCAATAAATGATAGTTGTTAAAACATAATAGAAATAATAGGCTGAAAATTATAATAATAAGAATAATTAAAACATTTTGTTCCTTAGATTTTTTTTAAATTTTATTGAAAAATGTAATTGATTGCGCTTCAATATATAAGAAATTTTACTTGCATGTCAAATTAAAGATAAATAAAATATAAAGCAATTTCAAATCAAATTACATATTTAAACGCTTGTATTTAAACGCTTTCTCGCTATCAGAATGTTTTAGATAAAACTTTCGTATATGAAAAATTATTAGATGTTCCATAAAGTTTTTATGTGGAGTCTTATTTTAAGTAGAGGGCCATTTAGTACTAATTTACATATATAATTATTAATATGTTATCAATGTCTAATTTTTGCTCATTGTCAGAAATAAAAAGACAGATTTTCATATTAACATCGGTTGAATTCGACTTTATTGTTGTTGCTTATTAAGAACTGACTGATAAAGGCAATGCATGCTTGAATTTCTAGGAAATAACATGAGTTTCTGATAAATGTTGTACTTTGATAACAAAATCCAGCGCTGTTTTTTTGTTATCAATCTTAACTTTGAATTAAATTAAATTTTTTCCGGATTTTGTATAATTTTTAAAGTCAATTTGCGAAAATAGCGCACTAATCTTTCTTTTGAATTTTTCTTTTTGAACAGACCTCGTATGTATTCATAATGAAATTCATAATATGTATTTATATATTTTAAGATATTCGAAGCAGTGTATTTGAAAAACGTAGCACGTCCATGATTGAAAATGATAAACAATTTCATTTTAATTGCGGTGTTAACTAAGTGTATTAATAAGTAGTAATAAAAAATTATTAAGGTGTTAATGGCCTCTTCATACAAATAATAATAAAGTATATTTTATCCTTGAAATACATTGAGTAATCAAAATTGATACTTTAAACAAGATGTAGTTAAAATTGTGTGCAAAATATGCTAATTGTTTTGGTATTTTTTGCCTAGTTGGTATTTGCCGCGCTTAAAATACTATATGTTCTTCTGCAACATAGAAAAAGGAAATCCAGTTTATAAACCCTAATAAAAAGGATTGGATACTATCATATGAGTATCTTTTTTATATTATGTTGGCAAATAAGATATAGCAAATTTTGGTTAGAAAATCAAAGACATTTTTTTCATGGAGCTGAATAACTTTATTCTGTAATATATTGTCTATTTTGATCTCAATTTGACACCATCACGTACATTAAATTATTTACCATTCAAAGAGTTTTGTAAAGATCGAAACAAAAAGTAATCAGAAGGTGCAAGATCAGGACTGTATGGTGAATATAGCGAAACATCCCAATAATTTTTGCCAACTTAGGCCGCTTTTCTTCGACTGCGGTGTTTAATTTCATTAGTTGTTCAATGTGTGTTCAATATGGTGAGAGTAAAAGTAGACAATTTCTATGTAATCTACTTCAGCTGGACGACTAGAGCGTCATTCATGTTTGAGTGAAATATTACCAAAACGAAATTTGGCAAACCAATTTGGACGCTGCCGATTTTTAGACTTTGTCACCATAAACAGCTCATGAACTTGTGTGAGCTTAAGATGCCGTTTACCTTTAGGGAAATAAAAATCCAAAATACAACAAAAATTTTCGTATTGATTTTCGCTCTTTTGATGAACGCCAATCGAAAGCTATGCTCTCAGAAAACACTTTTACTGATGGACATCTAAATTACCTACTATCTAATAAGAAAAGGTATATTATATTTGAAATACGTCAGCAAATCTAAAATTCAATTCAAACCATCTATCCACAATTTCTTAGTTGCCAACCTAATATATATATATATATATATATATATATATATATATATATATATATCTTATCTGAGTTATATAAATACCAAGAAATCTGTCTAAGGAATATAAAATCCAATCCAATTCGAAAATGTGTAATATAATGTCGTATTAGTTTAACATTTCAGTGTCAGTCTGTGATAAGTCTTCTTTGTATTTTGTTTGTGTAAGTAAAATGCACTGAACATAAAAAAAAATCATATTTGGATTAAATTAAAAATTAGCTTTTTATATATCTATTGTGTCCCTAATAGATAACGGCGGCTAAAGGAGCGCATTGTGTAATCCGCTGTTATATCGTTCAGCGTCCTTGAGGTAGGTCGCCTTGATTAAAAGCAAAAAACAAAGCAAATATAAACAGAATGATACTTCATAATATAAACACAAATATCGCATTTTGAATATAGAACAGCCAAGCACAGGTCCATGCCACCCTATATGCATTTTACACTGCATGACAATTGATTTGCTCTACTATAATAGCATGCTTATTTGGCTTTCTGCTTTTAATTCTTGGTTTAATAAAATAATTTATTTAAATTATTTTGTGAATTTGCTTATATTTTTTATCTTGCATAGTATTTCTAAAGTATGTGCATTTTGGCAGGTGAGGACATTGGATTTGCATGTATACCTTAATTGATTTTTACATTCGATATCTGCAGTAACCAATGATTATATTTGTTGATTAGTAAGTCGTGGACAATAGATTATTTTAACTCGTATTATATTATATTATTTTAATATATGTCTACCACAAACATGGTTCTATCCCAACTTCGTCCAACTTCAACATCAGGCAGCATCGTCCAATTTGCACTTTAGGGTATAGATCTTAATTATAATCCCAAGTGAAAATCGCCTTTCATGGGCATCGTTGCAATATCACTATTAGTGAGATAACCGTGTTAGCGTTCAGAAATAATACACAAACGAAACGATCAGTTGAGGCAATCGATGGATTGCTTGCTAATAGCATCTTAAAACTAGAGACACCTCATGGAACTCCATGGAATAGTTCTGATTGTTGTAATATTAATCTAATTTCTGTGATTATTTCGAAATGACATGTGACTTTGCTCATATTTATAATGGTTTGAATAAATAAACAATATGGAACTAAAACTAATAAATTAATGTCTATGTAGAAATTAAACATGTTTCAAATATCGTTACCATTGATATTTAATAACTGTGTATGTGTTGAATTATATGAAAGAAATTAAATTGATAGAATCATGCAACTATTCCTAAAGCTAATCTAACAATAAGAGCTCCTTAAGCTTCTGTTGAAGGTCAACATCTATAATTCACATATTGAATGAATGGTTTTATGGCACTAGTAAATCCTAGAATAAATACTTTTTAGAACAGTGTTTTCCAACCTTTTATGGGTCATGCTTTATTTTAACGTTTTTAAAAACGTTATGGCTCTCAAATAAAATTCTTGATTAATTCTTGACCTTGATTGTAGCGCCACGGTGGTCCAGTGGTTAAGGTCGCTGTTTGCCACGCAAAGGGCCCGTGTTCGGTTCTGGGTAGGGTACGAAAAAATGAGTGTTTAAGAAAAATTATGCGTGTAAAATAATGAATAATATTAGATGTGTTAGGTATGAAGCGGAACGGAAATAAAGCGTACTGTATAATTAGTTATAAGGCGTATAACAATATAGAGTGTAAAGTTTAGGCATACGTTAACCTATACACGTAAAGAAACTTCTGATGTAGGATTTATCGTATAAGGAATGCAAATGTTATATAGATCTAATTTATAAATATTTTTATAGAATAGGAATTTTATAGAAATCTTGGTATTTAATATCGATAATATCTACCATTGCATTCAAACCGCCCAAAGCAAAAATTGCCCTTCAGTGGGGCGTGCGGCCCTCGTTGGGAATCACTGTTTCAGAACAACTTACGTTTGAATGTAATTTGATATGTACGAGAAATGGATGTTATAAAATGTACATTAGATTTCTGAATTCCCTAATAGATTAATTGCATAGTAGCTGGAAATATTTTTCTGATTTGATGCCAAAAATATCCCTGTTATTGTCCCTGTTAAGTCATTAATTGCCAGAATATTCAACACCAATTATTAAGTCATCCAACCAAAACATAATTTTTTAAACAAAGTTAACAAGAATTTTCTGTGAAATCTTTTTATTTCTTATATTGAATTTTCTTTTTTCTTTCTCTTTCGTATTTTGTTTTTTTCCTCTCCCGAAAAGGATAAGAAGTACATGTCACAACCGTACTGACACAATCTGTCCCAACCATACCTAGCGCACACTTTTGGAGACAAAGCATCTTTATGATCGAGCTTAATTATCTACGCAAAAACTAATTGCTGATAATTAACTACTAATGTTCAAGTTACGGTAACATAACAAACAAAGTAATCTATCTGTATACAAGTAACAGTTATTATTGAAACAAATCAAACGAAAAAAAAGTTACTTTTGACTTTTTAAAAGCAGTGCGGTCTTCAGATCATTTTAACGCAGGGCGCTGACTGAAAGCAATAATGTGAACTTGTTTGAACAAACATACTTTATCTTTTTCCCTTTGAACTCGATTTCAAAATCGGTATAGTTTGGCTGTCATGACGACTGTCACTACCGTACCCTGGCACAGTCTTCTCGGTACTTAATATACGATATTAAGTTTTGAATTAAATTTATTTGTAAAATTATATCGTTATTCAAATCATTAATTTAGCGTATGTCAGAAGGGTTTGTGTCTTATTATTGTGTTTGTGTATAATTTTATAAATTGAACAGCATTTTTATCTTTTTTACTAAAAAATGGAAATTATGGCAATAATATAACTTATCGCTGACCACATTTAAAAGGACACTGACCTAAAATTGACACTGCTTAGAATTAATTTGTTTCTCACCTAACTTTTTATCTATAGAGTATTTTATGTCAGATTTACAAAAATAAAAATACTGTTCAATAAAATTTATTAACAGTCGCGAAAAAGGAGAATTTCTGAAGAACTTTAGCATTTTTCTAAGTTCTACTGTTATCTATTATTTATTTTGATAGTTTATTTTTTTATTAAGCTTTCAGTCTAGAATGACATAAAATATTTAATTCTAAAAATTATTATTAAGTAATAATATTGCATAATTTAAAATTAAGATACTATCGAATATTAAATTAAATTAATAGAAAGAACTTGAAGATGAGAAAAATTAACTTGTACAGATAATAATTGTTTAGTAATGTATTGTTCTTAATCAGTATTACGGTCTTATTATTGTAAGAAAACCATACTATTTTTTCTTGTTTACACCTTTGCTAGGGTAAAGATACTGTTGGTTCTTTATACCCCAACTTCTAAAACACTTAAATAACGTATACTTAAAAATATATTCAGGTGTTGTAAACTAAAGGACTAAGCACGAAACCAAAAAAAAAAGTAACTATGAAAAAAAACACTTTTGTAATGGATTTACAAACTTTGTCGTTTATCTCCCGATTGCAGTGTCCTAAGAATCAAGGTGGTGGTATAATTCCAGCTTTTTTTCAGCTCTTTTTTCCAGCTTTCATATATTGTTAAAAAAAATTTCAACTTTACTTGTTTTTGAGATATCTTTTTACCCGCGGACCTTTAAGCCCCGCACTACTTTAGTCAATATTATGGTCAAAGGGATCGTTCAAGTATTACGTAAGCAGATTCATTACAATTATTTACTCCCCCCCCCACCCCTTTGTCAGCAAAAGTTACAAGCAAAGTTCTTACCCAAAATAAGCAAAACAATAACCCCCCCGCCCCCCTATAGTGCTTACGTATTACTTGAACGGCCCCAAATTAATAAAAATATTAAAGGATATTTTATCCATTTATGAGTTACTCGTTTACATTATGACATATTATGTCAACTAGAAAAAATAAAACAAGGATAAAAATGCGAAAAAGAAAAGTGGAGATCAAAAAATGAATGAATAAATGAGTCAATAAATTGCATTTGTTAATATTCGTTTAGTGAGTAATTGCTGTGTCGTTAGTGGTATTTTAATTTGGTATAATAAAATTCTCAATCATTAAACAATCAAAAAAGCAGATATGTATATAATGTGTGTGTATGCTAATGTTGTTTATTAGTGCACATGTGTGCATGCACGATATATAAACAATAATGTGCATAAGTGTAAGAGGCACACATACGCGCGTGCGATTGTTATGCGCGCAATCAGTTGTTTAGTGGCGTCCCAACCGAACAGCAAATATTACGATACCGTGATACCGTCGCGCATTCGCTATTATTATATTATTATTATTATTATACGATTTATTCTCAAGTGAACATGGATCAAGAATAAATCGATATTATGCAAACTATAAGTGATTTTTGCCAGAAATTTGTTATACGTATGTGTGTATTAAAGTTCCGTTCACTATCATATCATTTTTGCAACTCCTCTTATTAATAATTGAAAGAAAAGATTATTTGGCTGTGAAATATTGAGAATGTATGTTTTTATTGAAACGTTTTCGGCAAGAATTGTTTAAAAAATTATATTTTCTGTTATTCTTATTGTGGAGCTGATCAAATTAAATAGCAATTTAAAATTAATTTTTACTACAAAATTTTTGAGAGTTTTCTAATTAGTTTAATTGTTTTGTTGCAGTTTATAGATTATTAATATTTTCTAGGTTTTTTGTTTTGCATGATTTTAACGATGTGTACATTTCAAAATAATAACGTGTATTTTTCTGATATACTTACTGAACACTTTATACCAAGATCGATATTCGAAAATTATCAGTCTAGGTATAAAAGTGTTATTTACGTGTATAAGAACTAAAGAGAGTAAATTGTGGAAATCAGCAACAAGAGTGTCATTTGGAATTTATACTGTGACTATGCTACTGACACTTTGATTATAGTTTACGGCATGGCATTTTTAGGTTAGATAATGTTGAAGATTTTACAGGAAGAGTTTAAAAATCATTTATACCTGAGCGAGCTTGAACAATGTAGCATTTTTAAATAATAACAGCATTTGCGCGTGAATAACTATAAGAAAAAACTAAAATACTGGTTGACACCTTGGAGATTATTTTTTAAGACAAAAATTAATCCTTGATATTGTAATTTTTCGTTTTGACTTATTTTTTTCTTTACTTTGATTAACCTTAATCTGGTTTTCCTTAAACAGCAGGACTGCGGTTGCGCAACGTCGACGAGTCGGCCGGTATGACCGCGGAGCAGGGGGGGTCCGCCGACGTGGTCAGCGCCGGGCCCCTCCCTGCGCCCGCTAATTCGAACGCGCCGACACTGCCTCACCACAGGCGGTATGACCAGGAACACGCACGCATGGAAGCGTGGCTGGACGAGAACCCTGATTTCGTCCAAGACTATTTCATGAGGTAAGGGACTGCGGTACAAGATTATAAATGTACGAAGATTTAACAATATTGCTTCAGGTTGATGATTAATCTTTGTAGATTTTTCAGTTTTTAGAGAACTGATCGACCATTTTATTAACGTGGCCGATAAACCCATAAAACAAAGTATCGATTACTAATCTGTGCCTTCTTTCTTTTTTATTTTTTCATTTCATTCAAACTTTTTGATGTGAGGCGCAGGCAACCGCGGGTCTAATCTCATTGCGTTCGCAAACCATGTCAAAATCATTCGCGTGTGATATAAATCATTCAAAAGATTCATTCTTACCGTGTGCACATACGGTTTATATGCGAAAAGAAAATTGAAACCGCTCGGTGGGTGGTCTGCGACAGTGGTCTTCAACATGCTGCCAAATAATACAAAGTCAAAACAATACTAGTCGTGCATGGCATCGTGCCAAATTAAATTGCTGGAACTTTCTGTACCAAAAATTAAAATTTTTAAAAAAGCTCTTCGAACTATAGATTTTTGAGAACTTTGAAATTTCTGAGGAAAGGTGACTAGTTTTAAAAGCTTTTTGAAAATTTTGAACTTTTTTCAAAGCAATCGAACTGCGTTAACTGCGTAGAGTGAAACTTCAAAACGCGTAAGCGCCGCGTCGCAGTCTAACAAATATACATTTGCACGGAACCCATAGAAATGTGAATAAAATTTGTACTTATTATTAAAATCTCTATAAAAAAATCTAAAAATTTGATGTGCATATGTTTAACGATCTTTTTTGAGCGCCAAATGCCATTTTTTTTTACTTTTTTTATTAGATCTTCGAAACCGCTAGACCTGCCTTTTCAAAAATGTAAGTAGTTGTTCATTTTGTCAATACAGGTAAAATGTTTTTTGAGTTATTGAAAACAGACTCAAAAACTGATCAACTTTTTGGGTACTTTTTGCCCCGTATCTACGAAATTTGCCTTTGCCAAAAATTTATCAGCACTTCCCCTTATCAATAGGAATCAAATGTTTTTGGAATCATTGAAATTGGTTGATCCGTTTTCTCGAAATCATTGATTGATTATATTCAAAATCAAAATTTATTAACATTCATGCCAGTATAAGCGAAATTAATGCGTCTTAAGTGACGAAATGCTCATACGTAAGACTACGTAAAAGTAATAATGCGTCATCTCAAATTACTCACAATCAAATCTCATTATCGATTATGTGATTAAAATGTATTTTATGAATTTCTGCAAGTTCTACTTATTCGGTAAATGGGAATTGCTTATGAGAAGAAATTGTTTGAATCAACATTTTGAAAAACATTGTGATCAATGATCCCGAATATTCTTTTGAAATGCTTTTTGTATTCCGCAAAAAACTAGAATTTTTTTAGAACCTGCTTATCGACTTTATTTCTACTGATATTCATACGTTAACAGTGCACTTTGTATACCATAGTTTTGAACAAATCTACTGAAAGGATTTAGTTCGATATTTCAACAGTATTTGTTAATTTTTCATTATTCTTGTCTACTTCATATGAAAATTTAAATTTATTATTTCATTTCTTCGGAACACTTGCAAAAGGGTTAATTATTAACTTCCCGTAGAGTAAGTATAGTAATAGTCCAAAAATCAAAGATGAAAATGTGTGCATATCTTCACTTTTCAGAGGTTTCTGAACATTTTGGCAAACCATACAAAATTTGGATGTATGTGTGTATACATGTGTGTGTTTTGTGTGGATACAATTTTTTGTCCATGATTTCGAGCGCACGGATCAACCGATTTGATATATTCAGAAATCATTCCTACTGATGGGAGACGTCCTGATTAGTTTTTGGCAAAGACGCGTCCAGCCATTTCGTAAATTCGGAGCAAAGAGTGCAGAAAATATAAATTGTTTTTATAAGAGAACAGGCCATCCGATTTTAATTATTCAAAAAATATTTTGCTTGGGTTGACAGTATGAAGAAACGATTATTTTTTGGGGAAAGCATTTTTTTATTCCAAAATACATTTTTTTTAATTTCTAAAGATTTTTTTTAATATCGAAAATTATTCGGATTTTAATTTTAATTCTAGATAAAATTTTAAATCTCACTTATATACTTCAATTAAATAATTTTAACTTTACAATTCAGTTTATATAATTCTTAGAAATATAAGATAAGGTCCTTTATTCTATGTAAATTCTCATGTAAACACATATCAACGTCGTCGTCAAATTCATAAGCCGTTATATTTTGTCTATAAAATACAGATAATAAATGTTACAGTGTTTATAATAATCTATTTGGAAACATTTAATATTCTACGAATAATTTCATCACGGTACGAGTAGTTTCCAAATTTCCCGTAAGGCACGATGCCATGGACCATTTTATTATTCTGATCTACTTTATATAAAAATTCAAATGTCTTGTTTTATATCTTCAAAACAATTATATCAAGATATTTTAAATGTACCTACTGCTTAAATTTCTTGATTCTTACTATCAATGGGGCTTTTATTCGCAGGGGCTTATCATGACACTAAGTTATTTCTAAATCCGACAAAATCCATGTTTAAGCATTTTAAACACACACGATTTTCTCAGAATTTCAATTTGAAATCAGAATCTGTCTGTCAATGAGTTCATTCAGACAAACGTAACTAAAAACCCCTTCGGAGCGATAAAGAAAACGCGGTTGAATTTCATATGGTGATACAGTTACTATTATAAATATTTAGACATATTGAATTGTATAATAGGCAGCTAACACAAGCAGACATAAATAATATGAATTTCTAGATAAGAATAAGATTTAAATTACAATAGAAGTTTGCTGTGATTGGCGTATATACTCGTCATGCGTATTAATCTTTGACCATTGGTTATTATTTCGATTCCAATTTTTCAAATTTCAAATTTCAAGATATTTAGAATATTTTAAGTCTATGCCGGTATCGAATAAATAGTTGTAAGTATAATTTTATCTTACAACATTTTACTCGACTCTGACGACACTAAACTGCATACAATACTAACAATAAGGTTTTTCCACAAGATTTGGATATTAGTGATTGACAATACAATATAAAATTTTCCAATTTCTCAGAAAATTCGAAATACTTGAAATATTCAAAGTCAATTTTAAATATTTTCTTATGTTTAACTATTTTTATTAAGGGTGGGCCAAACCGTTTTGTTTATAATTAATATCTGGAAAAATGACACATTTTTAAAAAAATATATTAATTCGACGATTATTGATCAACTCAATTAATTCACATCTTTATCAAGTCAAAATATCTCTTTAACACTACATTTACGAACCGAGCCAATTTGACTCAATAAAAATTTGATAACTTAATACAAAAAATTTTAACTTTTTACAAATATACATTGGTTTTATTTTTAGTTATGTAATGAAATATATGTAAACACTTATTCGTCTTGCTCCTAAACCCCTTATTTCACATTATCGAATGTGGTAAACCTATTTTCATGGGCGAATTTGACTCGCAGAATGGTTTATCAGTTTTTTCCAAAATACTGATCCACAAAGAAAATTTTATAATTTACTTGGAGGTATTTGTTGGAAACAAAAACTATATATAATATGGAATTTACCTTGAAACTTATAGACAATAGTCAGATTTGTTACAAAAATGACACAAACATAGCAATCGACGATTCATTATACCCTACTAAATCTAGATTCCATTTTACGCAGTACATGCCGGCTGTATAAACCAGATAAATTCATCATCAAATTTTGTCTGGAATCCGATGTAAGCAACAAATATTTTGTAAACGGTTTCCGTACTTGATTTTGTAAAATTTTTGTAACTAACCTTGCAGAGCCATATTTACTGTATACAATATATAACTTATTTACTATGAGGCAATTCGAGTCATCCTTAATCTGGAAACATAAAAACAATGGAATGTCGACTTTTATAAATGATCCGATTTTAATACAGTTTTATACCTATAAGGAGTTCGTTTTTAATTAATAATTTGCTAAAACGTTATTTGAAAAAAAAAACACTTTGGTTGGCACTATATATACTTCCAAGTCGCGACAGCCATAAAAGATATAGTGACAAAGTTTTCTACACAATTGTATAGATCTGAAAATTTAACCCTGACGATTCATGAACACAATCCTTATAAAACTTTTTACTGCTACTTACTAAACATAAAAACCGAAATTGAAAGTTAAAAAATTGAAAAGCTTGTTTCACAAAACACTAACTGATAACAATAGCACTAAGTATGGAGATGATGTATTTGACCAATTGGTAAAAATGTTTTCCATTAATTTTTTGAAATTAAATATTTTATTTAAATCGGCTTGGAACTATTTTTTCCCAAAATGTTTGCTTCCTTGCATAAATCAAATTGGCTCACTTTGGTAAAAATAGTATAGTAAGGGTGACTGGATACGGTTGTGACACTTTTTTTGATCAGCCATAATTTTGTTGTGCCGTAGTTATAGCTGAGAGAAAATTAAATCGTAATTTGAACATTTGTTTGCGTGGAAAGACTGAAATACTATATCTTTTTAGTTTATTTATTATTATTTCTATTTATTTTCTTTTAATTATATTATTTAATGAATTATTATTTGTTTCTGTGTGTGTAAGTATTTGGTGGGTGTTAAATGTTGAAAATATTTTTATGGACTTATTTATTATTCTTTGTACGTCATTTAGGTTAGCTTTAGTTGTTTGGCTCCATGTTGTTATTCCATATAAAATTATGGACATTATATGCGCTTTAAGGATTAGTATCTTATTTTTTGCCGAAAGAGTGATTCTTTTTCTTTCTCTTTCGTATTTTGTCTTAGTCAAGTTACATATTTTTATTTGTTTAATCTTCACTCGGAAATGGTAAGAAATATATGTCACAACCGAACAATCACACTTCATTTTTCTCTTTCTGAGCCTATCTCAAAATCAGTGTAGTTTAGGTTTTATGACGACTGTCACTACCGTACCCAGGCACAACCGTACCCATTCTCCCAAAATCCGTAATTCTAGTGTTAGCTAGTCATATATTTACATATAGGGCTTGATTCTTCCATCTAAAAAAATACGAAGGAAGGAGAAGTTTCAGTCCAACAGCTCATAGGACCTAAGGTTCTGATTCCTGTTCAAAAAAATGATAATAAAATATATATATATATATATATATATATATATATTTACATATATATAAAAATAGATATGTATAAATATCTATATGTATAAATATCTGTTCTATTATACGTAATGTTTTAATTATTCCAGTTGTACTGATTATGTTTCTTTCCCAAGGAAGGTAACTCGGCAAGTGGTGGACGCGTGGCTGGTGTCTCACGCGACCCCATCGTCGGCTGGCGGTGACCTGCAGTCGCCGTCGTACCAGGGCTGTGCATCGCGGAGTGGCTCCGGAGCCACGACGCCAGTCAGGTGAAATACATCGTTTTTTCAATTATCTGATTGATAATTATTTATTTCCTGTAGTGTAAGTTATTGAAATTACATTGCAAAAATATATAATATAATTAGATAGTTTTGTGCTAAATTTTAGATTTAGCATTATCAAGTGAGAATTTTCAAATACTTCTTTTCTTACTATGACAAGAATAACATTGATGACTTATAGTATTCCAAGGGGAAAAACTTTGGGTTTTTTTAGAACATTTTTTAATATTTTTAGCATTTATCATATATATATATATATATATATATATATATATATATATATATATATATATACAGGGCCGGTCCTACCTTGAATGCAATGCATGCAAAAAATGCGGGCGCACGCCTTAGGGGGCGCCAAAACGAGATTCGGAAATGAAATTTATAATATATTATTCGTATTTTTTTAATATAAAATCTAGAATACTTAACAGATTATAATGAACAATTTAACTTAGCTATGGATATGTAGAAACAGAAAGTATATTCAGTTTGCAATGTGATATCTGTAGAAACAATTAATTACTTATGCAAATTAGTAAATTATTGTTCTGCTTATTATTTAATGAACTCATTAATTTTTTCTTCGATCGAAGTTAATGTGGAATTGAAAAAGAAATTATCTAGTGTTTAATACCGTAAGAGCAAACCTACGAAAGTTTAAATTATTGGGCATTATTGATGAGAAATTGCGAGGTGATTTAGTTTGAACGGAACTTGTTAAAAAAAAATTTACAAATTATAATAGAGAAAAATGGAAAATGGGAAGTCAGTGCATAGAAAATGACTATAAGACCGAGAAACTTAATTGTAACTTTTGTATTTGTTGAAAATGTTTTGCATCTGATTAACTTTGAACTTTGAAGACATGCGTGGTTAGGTTTATAGAAATAGAGCAAATATGAAAAATGGAAGCAAAATGGACTTAGAAACAAAACTCGTGAGCTTTTTTATACCTAGTGGTGTTCATACTAAATTTAATTATTAACTAAGCAGAAATAATACAGATACAAATATAATTGTGTTTTGTTTTCGATATAGTTCAGGAAATATGTAATTTCTTTGCATCTTTTAAAATACGTTAAAAATTTAACTTTAAAACAACAATCTGATATTCTGAATCAGATGGGAAATTAAACATGAATACAATTTGGCTTTACAATATCAATAAGTTACTGATGCAATTTTGGATATTGTGAATAATGAAAAAAAAATTAAAATAAAATTTTAAAAATGTAACATGAAAAATGAATGTTATGTTTAGAAATAAAAATAAGTTTAATGAAATAAGTGAAATGTTTCAAAACCCAAATATTAATATTACATATATGTTAGAAATACTTGAAAATATAAAATATTTAATTATGGTCAACCCGCAAATCGCTTCGATTTTCTAAATAAAATTAAAATCAATGTATTTTATACGTTTTTAGATTATTTCTAATTTTTTGTGTAAATTTACAAATATCCATATAATTTTAATGATAAATGTTAAAACAGTTAAAATTATTGGGGGGGGGGGGCGCTAGAACAAATCTTGCATGCGGGCGCTGAGGACCCCAGGACCGGCCCTGTATATATATATATATATATATATATATGTGTGTGTGTGTGTGTGTGTTTAATTTCAGTTAAAAAGTCGGGCGTTACATCAATAAAAATAGTATGGGTTTTCCAAAATTATATATTTCACTTTATATATTTCAGAAAGATTTCGGCGCACGAGTTTGAGCGCGGCGGACTCCTACGTCCGATTGTGACTACCGTGGACGGAACTCCGACGTTTTTAAGTGTTGACGAAGACTCCTGCTCCACGGGGGGTTCATCTGGAGGTTGCTACGGCTCCAGTAGCGGTGTTTCATGCGGTCCTACGGGTCCAAGCTCGCCTGGCGGACCAGGTTCTCGGGCACAGAGGCGAAGCAGGCATGAACTTCGTAATCTCGATGAGAAAGAACTAATATTCGAATTGGTAAGATCATTGTATTATTTTGGGTACTAATACATAGAATTATTTGAATGAAGTTAGTAGCATTTTTAGAAAAAACAATAAGGTTCGGACCTTTTTTAATTTTTTTTATAATATAACAATATAATGATCATCAAAAAATAATAATTCTTCATACTACTAATAGTTTTCATTGTTAAATAAAATTACTATGAATATTCTGAACTCGCATGTTTATATTGATCTTATCAATTTTACTTATTATATTAATTTTTTAACATTATGTTTTCAGGTAAAAGACATATGTGATGATTTAGATGTGCGATCATTATGTCATAAGATTTTACAAAATGTATCGACACTATTACGAGCTGACCGTGGTTCCCTCTTTTTGGTTCAAGGTTGCAAAACGCAAACATTGGCAACAACTAATAGAACGAATTGCACTCTTCCTGGTAGAAAGTAAGTTATCTAGTTTAGCAGTCTTATTATTATTCATTGTTTTCGAAAATTAATAATTAAATGTAGGATAACTTATTACGATTTTCGGAATAAAGAAGAAATATTTTGTTCTTGTAAAGAGTTTAATGTCAATTTATTATTTTACACTTATTTCTTTAATCTTCAACACATCTGCTCTTCATCTGTAACTAAATCTACACAATTGTTACCTTATATACTTAATATCTATGTTATATTCCAAATTTGTATTTATTTACTAAATCTTTTTTACATACAAGTAATTTACGTAAGTGCTCGCATATTATATAGGTTAATGATTAGGTAGTGCGTTGTTGTCAGGATCTGATCCTGAAAAGTTCAGTATGTTAACCAAGCTCGTTTCATCTTTAGCTACGATCGCGATAAATGTGACGATTGTTTTTCATCCAGAAATGTAAAAGCTAATAGGTATCATAATTTTTCAGATGTTTGGTGTCTAAATTATTCGACGTGTGTTCCCGATCGACACTTCCAGAAATGGAAAAACATGAAGAAATTCGGGTTGAGTGGGGAACAGGTATCATAGGCCACGTCGCTGAAAGTGGCGAGCCAGTGAATATTCCGGATGCATATAAGGTAATCATCAATTATTATTGTCATCATTATTTCTGAAACTTGTTGTAGAGCTACTTAAGTTTATTATTTGCAGCTTGTAACATTTAATTTAAACGTTCTTTACGAACATAATATCAATAATAACATATTCTATTCTAGACTCTAGTTCAATTTATTTGCAATAAGTAGTCCATGTAAGATTATTTCGTAGTACAATTGGTATCTAGTTGCATCATGTGATAATAAAAATCTAATCTCTAATTATGTCTCAATTTGATCTGCAATTGGACCATTAGTAGAATTATTTATAGGCGACGAAAAATAATATCAATTACTGGTTTAGAAATATTATAAATCTTGCTTTTACCTGAAAAGATAGTTACACCTTGGTGTAACCCAGATACGGATAATTAGTAGAATTAGATATAGATAATTAGTAGAATTATTCGAAATATTATAAATCTTGCTTTTTTTCAGAAAGATAGTTTACCTTGGTGTAGCCTAGAAAATTTGTTAATTTAGTATGTATAATTATTTAATTCTCTCTAAATTGTGCAGGTACCGAGCTTATTTAGCCTGATTAATCAGTATTATATAGCATTATTAATCAGTAATATTTTCAATTTTCAAAAAAATTTTGCTTGCTAATGTGTTAGCATATATGATATTCCCTCTTCGTATTAAAATATCAAGTAAAAAATGCCATCCATCAGTTCTATTTCAGTTTCAACGTATTGCATCATTTAGTTTGCAATATTACCGTATAATTAAAAGTTTTAAATAGATGACATTTCCGCAAGTTATTTCTGTGCGCAGATTTTGTATTTGTATATACAAAAGATAATACTCGTTGCATAGTTATTACTATTATCGATTCTATAAAACCTCATGCTGAGAGAGTTTGCTATTTATATTTTACCTCATCCATCATGTTAATAGTTGAAGTTCTGACGTCCGGATATGAATTGAAAGTAGGATAATCGATAACAAGTCATTGCATGCGGGGTGTCTCATATGTAATCGTTTGTAAACATGGAAACATAAATAATTATATTTATTTATATATGACACGTGTTTAAAACGTATTTCATATGGCTTATTAAACCACGAGTCGTTGATCGATACTAAATACTAATAAAAGTTACACAAAATTTAGGCGCCTGTGTACTTTCATACAAATCTTCGACGATCGACCATAAAATCGTAGACCTCACAAGCCGCCATCCTCTTAGGTAAACCCCCAGCTTCCGCGCAGGTCGTTCCTTCGTAATTAAAGAAAAGTGAAAACATTTTTGTTCACATTATCCTAAAAAATTATGATACGATTTTGAAAATTCGGAAGATATCATTTGGAAATCGTGCTTGATTTTTGGAAAAGATCAGTCGTATCGTTTCTTCGTAATTGATTGTTAAAAAGTTTTCTTGGCGAATTCATTGAAACTTTATATCGCGATAGAGTTTCTGGTGTGTTAATGAACGTAGGGAAATATTAGAAGCCTACGACAAGTAGTAGTGGTTCAATTATAAAAAATAAATAAATTAAATTATATAAAATAAATTAATCGTTTGCGCGTTTAGAAAATACTCCGTGTATGTACTAGACGTGTGTTCGTTTTTTCATAATGTGTAATATATAAGCTATTTGTCTAAAATAACTAACATGCTTGGAAATTGGATTTTGTTTCAAATTAAATCATTTACAATAGTTTCTCACAATAAGGCACTACTGCGACTCTTATAAATCACCCATGAATTAATATATTAATTTCTTATTGCATAAGTCGGTTATCTACACATGTCTGGAAGTTCATGTAACTTGCCTCAAGGCATAATTTTATTTATACCTAGTTTGCAACTTATTTCGGAATTTATAATCAATATGATTTCTGTCCCAGGATGATCGTTTTAATCGCGACATAGATCTGCAGACCGGATACAGGACGAGATCTTTGCTCTGCATGCCGATCAAAGATGCTTCAGGTGAGGTTTTGGGTGTGGCGCAAGTTATAAATAAACTGGGACCAGAACAATCTTTCACGGAATCGGATGAAAAGGTTTTTGCAGCCTATTTGCAATTTTGCGGCATAGCCATGCGAAATGCTCAACTTTATGAAAATAGCCAATTAGAAGTGAGAAGAAACCAGGTTAGATTCTTTCTATTGAAAGTAACTATTAGTGTTTTAAAAAATAATATATTTATAGGAAACCTAAAATGTATTATTATTAAAATTATTATGTATTATTATTAAAATGAAATTATACACTATAATGAAAGTCAATGAAAAAATTATGTGTGGGTATGGAAAATCCACATTTCTGGTTCCGTAATCGCCTTTTGTGCATTTTTCTTTCATTAAGGTTAAGATTACCAAAGTTATTTTTTTAACCGAATGTTTTTTGAACTATCCAAACCAGTTGATACGTTTTTCCGAAAACTTGTCTACACTAATACATCTACATTTTTTAAAGCCAAAATTATTATATTAGAAGGTTTGAAATTTAAAGCAAAAACATTAACGCTGATTTAAATAACTTGGAATTATTATAGTCCATAAAGTTTTTTTCTTGATTCTTCCATATAACCTAGTTATTTAACTTCTTGAAGGAGAAGTTATTGTTTGGGTGGTATCGTGCTGGTTGTATCGAAAAGATGGGCCGGGCCGTTTTCTTGAAATTACCGGGTGAAAAAATATTTTTGTCGATTTTTATCAAACTTTTTGACGTTAGATATTATGGTCTTAGAGACCGTAAAAATGTTACGGCCCTACGACAAGTCGTTCAATTTGAAAAATTCATCAAAATTTGAAAAAAATTATAGCAGCGTCTTTTTGACGTTTGTTAAATTTAGACATTTTACTTGGTATGGCCTGGTCTTAAAAACTTACTAAACCATTATAATCATACGGAAACTAGTCCAATTATAAAAATTTATTGAATTTTGAGCATTTGCTTTTATAAAATACTCCTGAGTTGGAGGCACGTGCTCGATTTTCAATAATGTGAAATAAATCCACTCGGAATACTTATAAATCACTCATAAATAAATTTATTTGATTTAATTGATTAAGTAGATTATTTACACATTTCAATAAGGAAAGTTCATGTAACTTGCTTTAAAGCAAAATAACACTTACAACTAGTTTTTTTATAACCAATATTTTTTTCAGGTTCTTTTAGATTTAGCTAGAATGATATTCGAAGAGCAGAGCACAATTGAACATATGGTTCTACGAATATTAACACATATACAAAGTTTAATCCAATGCCAAAGAGTGCAGGTAAAAATAAAAATAATATTTTTATGATATTATATTTTATTGCAATTTCATATTTCCCTAATATATTTTTTTATCAAGTTATAATAAACATTTTTAGATACCTAATTTTTAGCAGTAAATATTTATTTAAAAGATCCCACTTTTACGATTTTAACATAGTTTGATAATTTCTACTAATATCTGAATTTGCTTGTGGCGAATTTATTTTATTAATTAAAATCAAAATTTATTTATGTATAGGTATTATTACTGCACGAAGCTTCTAAAGGAAGCTTTTCACGAGTTTTTGACTTCGAAGCAAATGACGTGAACGCTGACGAATCAGATGTTCGAACAAGGTGACTATTTTTTCTTATATAATAATAAGTTTTAAGTGCAATAAATTCATTTAGTATTATTATACTATAATATATAATATATATTTATATACTATATATAGTTGACATGAAATATGAGAATTATTTTAAACCATTGATTTTTTGTAATTGCAGTCCTTATGAGTCGAGGTTTCCTATAAATATTGGCGTCACTGGTCAAGTGGCTACAACAGGTGAGGTATGTAGATCATAGCAATTTATTAAACATGATAATATTATTGAAACATCCAAACGGGATTCAATTCTATTTATGGTTAATTTTGTTTTTATAAGACAAAACATATATTTTTTTATTGTGTTGTGTTATCAGTAATAAGTCTCAATCAACACTCGAAAAAACCTGTTTTGTAGAGCGTCGAATTTTCAATATAAGATGACATGAATTGTCACTTTTAGTTCATTTGTCGTTCAGTTTAACACATCTTTAAAATTTAAAAAAAAAATCCATGCTATTTCCATACGAAGCTTTGATTGAATTGCGTACAATCTAAACGTTAATATTACGAGAATTAAAACTTTTAGAGAATTTATTTTTATCAATTTGCAAGCATTTAAGCCCCTGGGAGCAATAAAATTCGAAAATTTCCATATATATATATAATACAGTCAACCCGTTCATTCACTAACCGCCGTAAGTGAATACTGTGTTATATGGAATTTGTGCTTTAAGAAACTCGATTTTAACTTTCAATCTATGTTAATTTTTAGTTGCATGGGAATTGGGAACCGTGCTCAGAAGAAATTCAGAGTACAAATCAAAAGATATGATAAATTATAAATTGTTTTTATTGACATAAAGTTTTTATTATTGAATGAAACGTTTATAAAAATATGATAAATAATATTAATTATTTTGGTTGAATTCAGAGTACAAATCAAAAGATATGATAAAATAGAAATTGTTTTTATTGAGATGAAGTTTTTATTATTGAATGAAACGTTAATAAAAATATGATAAATAATATTAATTACTTTGGTTGAATTCAAAAGTTTTTATAAGGATAGGATGATAAATGAAATTAAAAGCTAAACTAAAAACCAATTTGCCAGCAAAAAATGCTGTATGTTTTTTTTAGAAAGACTAATATTCTACAAAAGAACTCTGATGCTACTAAAACCGATGTCGAACACAGTTATGATATAAACTGGCATATGTATATAAAACATATTATATAAATGTTAAAAGTATTGATTTTAAAACTTACATTAATACCTTTTACAATATCTAGTTACTAGAATCATTAATATGTTTTGGTAATCTGTTAAAGCCCATCAGTTTCAGGTAGTGATGGGCTTTTATACGACAACCATATTATAGAGAGTACCGTGTTATCAGATGTCGCAATTTTGGCTCCGCGTAAGTTTCCGGAGTGCTGCGTTATTGGAGGGTTGACTGTTTATATTTATGGTGGGTTAAATTATATAGGGCCGTTAAAAGGTGTAGAGACACATCGCGATAATTCGTATGAGTTGAGAGTCAAAACAAACTCCTCAAAATGTTATAAGACTATAACTTATAATGGTTTAATTATAAGATTAAATAAAAATATAGAAAATTGGGCTTCACTCTATACATGCACGTTTTGAGTTTCTTTGTCATTGTGATTGAATATTTGGTTTGTTCGAAATTTTTTGCTAGCTGTGATTTCTCCGGCAAAGTTTCTTTAAATAACCCATAGAAACAGAATTACAAAGTGCACCAACTGCCAAAAAATTTAACTCATTCTAATATGTATTTGTATATTATATATTCAATACTTGAATATATTATTATATATTCAAGTGAATATACTAAATTATAATTTATAAATATATTATAACTATTTTCTTTTTAGACTGTGAATATACCAAATGCATATGATGATCCCAGATTTGACCCAAGTGCCGATGAGGGTACGACGTTTCGGCACAAATCCATTCTATGTATGGCCATAAAGAATTCTTTAGGACAAATTATTGGTGTCATACAACTTATAAATAAGTTCAATGATTTGGCATTTACGAAAAACGATGAGAATTTTGTTGAAGCGTTTGCCATTTTCTGTGGGATGGGTATACATAACACACATATGTATGAAAGAGCAGTGGTAGCTATCGCAAAGCAGTCAGTAACACTGGAAATTTTAAGTTACCATGCCTCTGCGAGTCTGGATGACGCACAGAAACTTAGGGTAAGACAAGTTAAATGGCTTTGTCGGAGTTCTTACTAAATAATTTATCAAGAAGTTTATGGAGAAATGTTGTATATACTTTTTTAACTGCGAATGTGTGTCGTCGTTTTGAAATTATATAAATTTATTTTTAATGTGCATGATCATTCATCAGGAAATTAGAAATCAAAAAATTATATTGTCTACCTTTGTTATTTCTCAAAAACTGCTGTATGTTAAGTTATCCTAATAAAATGTTATAAATCTTGCAAATTTGATAAAGGATGTTTGCTCAGAAAAATGTGTATAATTGCTAGTCGTAACAATTTTACAACAAATTTGATGAATAAAATGATTCAGAATTTCATAAAATTTATGATTTAGCTTATATACTTTTTGGCTTAATTTTCTATAAGAATTTATTAAGATGTAGGAACTATTTTTTACATTATCTTACTTGCCCATATAAGCTGAATTAACATAATGATTAAAAATTCAACTTTGTATATGCATTCTCAATTACAGAGTTTACGGGTTCCTTCAGCAGCACATTTTCAACTACATGATTTTAAGTTTGATGATATCAACATGGATGATGATGATACACTTAAAGTAAGTTAATAAATAATTATGATATAAGGCTTAAAGGTTTACAGATAAAAACTAAGTAAAGTTAGTAAACAAAGCAATTTTTTTAACAACAATATTTGAAAGTACATGAAAAAAGATGTGTAATCAGCTATTGCCCTAAATCAGGCAACTTTGTCATCAGGAGTTAAACGGCCATGTTTGAAAATGTATACCAAAAGGATTTCCTTTTGTTATAGTAGATTTTTTGGTTGTGAGCACTATTATTTAGTTTGTGAGACCTTAATATGATTTTTAAGTATATGTTATTTAATTATTTTATACAATTGTTTTTTTAAGTTAGATTCAACCGGTGTTTTTATATAACATCGATAAGCTTATATGTGGGTGGGCTAAAGAGGATCGACTGAACCTTTACTCTGGCAAAAACGTAAACAATAAAATATAGTGAATCAAAATATAAATTCAGTTAAAACAAAATAATTTTACAAGAAATAAATTAAATCAATAGCTATTCCAACTTTTCTGATAAATAATTTCTAATGAAATATTTGATCAAGGTTATATACAGTATTATCTTTGTCAAAAATGTGACCATGAAATTTATATTTTGTATTGGTTGAATATTGTTTCTGTTATTTCCCGTAATTCCTTAAAAATTAAAAATAAAACATTGGATCTGTTTGCCCCATAGCTATGGGGTAAGAAGGGACAGATGACAAGTTTTTGAAAAAAAAACTAGAAAACATATTTCTATAATTAGAAATTAACACTATGCTACAAATTTATACTAAATTTGTATTATTATTATAAATTTATAATTTTTCTCATAAATTAATAATACTCTTTAAAAATTTATTATGCTTGTATTATAATTTAAATAATAATAATTATTACACAACATGTTTGTAAATAGTTCATCTCGGTTTATTTTTATTGAATAGGCTTGCCTAAGAATGTTTCTAGACTTGGATTTTGTGGAACGATTTCACATAGACTATGAGGTTTTGTGCAGGTGGTTGCTCAGTGTCAAGAAGAATTATCGCAATGTCACCTATCACAATTGGCGGCACGCTTTCAATGTAGCTCAGATGATGTTTGCCATATTAACGGTGAGAATAATAAAACTAATCTTTATATTTGATTTGTAACTGTTTTCAAAATGAATTTATGTATTTTTAATAGGCCACTCAATGGTGGAAAATATTTGGCGACATTGAGTGTCTGGGTTTGATAATAGCATGTTTATGTCATGACTTAGATCATCGAGGGACAAACAATTCTTTTCAAATAAAGTAAGTTTTATTAAAATACACTTTTTTATATATCACACACATTGCAGAGAAAACGTCTTAATTAAAGTACTTAGATAAAAAGAAAATGTCTTTGGTTGTTGATGATTGCTGTTAATAAATATATCTTTTCTTAATATTGCTGGAGTAAATCTATTGAATAGAATTGTTTTTATTACTTTGTCATAGACTATTAAATTAAATCCATTTAAGAATAGACTATTATCTGATTTCTACATATTTAGAGCGTCCTCTCCACTTGCTCAGCTATATTCCACATCAACAATGGAACATCATCATTTTGATCAGTGTCTAATGATCTTGAACAGTGATGGCAATCAGCTGTTATCTAATCTCTCACCAGATGATTATTCCAGAGTTATTCATGTATTGGAAGATGCAATATTATCCACGGATCTTGCTGTTTATTTCAGGTATAAAAAAATAGATATATTTATTTTAATATTTTGTATATTTATACCTTATTAACTTCTCGAAGGAGAATTTTATGTTTTCCTCAAAAAATCCGATTCGTTAATTTTATGTCTTCTCGACATTTCAAGCCATTCTAAATCCAATAAGACCAAATTTGAAAAAAGTATGTGTGTGTGTCTGTGAACAGATTTTTTGCTGTAAATCGAGGTTTTCTCAAAAACGGCTGGACCGTTTTCAGAAATTTAAAAACCATTTGATGTGTCTCAATGAGGACTATCGCTTGTCAGTTTTGTGCGACGATTGTCCGAGCCATTCCTTTGAAATTTGGAAAAAAGTGTTAAACTTTTCGTCCACATTTAAGCTCATACTACCGAATCGATTTTAAAAAATCAAAAACTGTTTGAAAGATATTAGATGGGATTGATGCTGATTAGTTTGTGGTGAAAATCTACCGAGCCGTTTCCTTGTAATTCGTTGTTGAAAAAAAAAATTGAGCCGATTTTTATGAAACTTTTTTTGATGATATATATCATGGTCTTATACAACTTATCAAAATATTACGGCGTTACGACAAGTAGTTTAATTTTAAATATTTATCAAAGTTTGAGAAAATGAGTAGATTTTTTTATGTTTGTTAAAATTAAAATTAGACGATTTACTTGGCATAATGATAGAGAACTTGGTCGTAATGAACATACTAAACCATTAAAGTCCAACGGAAACTGGTTCAATTATAAAAATTATAGATATTTTAAAATTTGCTTTTCAGAGTTAACGCGTTCGTTTGCTTTTCAATTATGTGTAATAAATTCACTCGGAATAATTTTAATAACCCATAAATTAATTTATTTTTTATTGATTAAGTTGATTAATTACACGTATCGGGAGTTCATGTAACTTGCCTCAAGGCAAAATACCAATACCAGCTAGTTTATTATTATTTAGAGTTCTTAAAGTAAACTGTGTCAAAAACTTGTAGTGAGTTTAATTCTGTTTTGCAGGAAACGGGGTCCTTTCTTGCATGCTGTTCATAACAGCTCTATCTGTGACTGGTCTCAGGATGAGCCCCGGTCTTTGCTTCGGGCCATGAGCATGACAGTGTGCGACTTAGCTGCAATTACAAAGCCCTGGGAAATTGAGAAGCGAGTAGCTGAATTGGTTAGCAATGAGTTCTTCCAACAGGGTGACATTGAACGAGATAAATTAAACATCACACCTATTGTTAGTGATTAAATTATTTATGAGATGTATTTGGGAGTATACTATTGAGGAAGTAATGTAACTTTTATTTTAGGATTTAATGAATAGGGAAAAAGAGGATGAACTTCCAATGATGCAAGTTGGATTTATTGACTCAATCTGTATACCAATTTATGAGGTAATATTCAATTTTAAATTTGTTTTTTATAATATGTCTTTGTTAATGTTAAAATGCTTTTTTATAATTTTAATCATAACATATCTGTTTTCAACATTATATACAAATAAATACATAATTCTTTAAGTTTTTATGCATGATGGAATATAAAGTGACCATACGTCCCGGTTCGGTCGGGCCAGTCTCGCATTTCCACCTTGTAGTATAACTTTAAGTTGAAACTTTGCATTTACTTGATAATAAAATTGCAACTACATTCTAAGGCGGGTTAAAAGTGCCTTTCACATAAATAAAGTTATAAAATTTTATAAAATTGATTTTTATTGTTTTTATTTAGTTACAATGTTTATAAATATTATTTATTATTTTAAATCATATTCATTTTTTTATTAAGCTGCCATACCGGTTTTGACATAAAAGATATAGTTTTCTTATAGAATAGTGTATTATAAAAATCTATATACATACTATATTTATTACATAGTTTGTATGTGTAGTATATGTCCTGTACATGCTAAATATAGTACACAGATTTCAAAAATAATTTTTCTTGAAGTCAGTAAAAATTTTGGAACATAGCCATATAACTTTAAAAAAAAAATTAAACGATTAATTAATTATCGGAACTACTAATAATTACTGATTAATAATTTAATATTAGCATTCTCGATGATGATTATATGTTTTATATGTACTTACATAATTTTTTATAAAATATATGTAGGCTTTTGCTACTTTATCAAACAAATTGGAACCTCTTGTCGAAGGCGTATTGGCTAACAAGAAGCATTGGCTGGAACTAGCTTCACAGAATAATAAAGAGAGTAACTCTGATGAAGATGCTGAAATTGAAACAAATAGTTTATAAATGTAGTAATTAGTTAGAAAAATATAAATAATATATATATATATATATATATATATATGTTTATGTGTACATATGTTCACATTTTCACATATATAGAAATGTAATTAAGTGCCTCATGAAATGACCTTTATCTAAATGCCTTAAATTGAGTTAAATCAATGAAGGTTTTTTTATGGTGATTATAAAAATGTAAGTATAGTTTATAATTATTGAGGCCTTTGCTAGTATTTATCAAATATATTGTAAATAATATAATTGTGTGAATACTGAGCTACTATCACACAAAACTAAAAAAAAACTACAGAAAATGATAAAACTAAAATCAATATGAACAAAATCACTCCTTAATATTTATAATATTTTCTATCGTATCATGTTGTACTGAATTTGACTTTCATGATACTTTGGACCAGTAATAATGACAATATATAATTCATTTTATTTCGGCAAGCAGTGCAATTGATGCTTATTATTTATTATTTATTGTTTGCGTTGATTAATGAATTATTCAATATTTAGCTTATCGAACTTGTTAAAATTCTGAGAAAAATTCTCAATAAAGTAATACATAACATGAAAGTGTTAAAAATACTTTCTTTAATTTTGGAACCAAAAACTGTCGAATATTAAAATAAATATTCCTGTAGAAGTATATTTTGTGTGAAATAGCTTTAGTTTATTACATTTGTCCTGTCAGTCTCTATGTGTGTTTAGAAACTAATTAAATAATTATTGCTAGAGTGTAGTGTGCTTTATATATAATATATTTTATATGTTATGTTTTGTTATTGTGATATTATATGTTCTTAAAGTTATTTCAAAATTTTTAATGATTTCTAATGACATAGATTTCAAGTGAAGTAAGGTTGTTAAGAGCAAATTGTTTTTAAAATATATATTTATTATTGATATATTTATAGAGTGATTTTATAAAACTAGTTTTATAAACATAATAGATAATATTGGTATTAGTATTCTTGCATTATTTTATAACCTAGATTCAAATGACTAGAGTGTAGTGTGCTTTATATATAATATATTATATGTTATGTTTTGTTATTGTGATATTATATGTGTTCTTAAAGTTATTTCAAAATTTTTAATGATCTAATGACATAGATTTCAAGTAAGGTGTTGTTTAAGAGCAAATTGTTTTTAAAATATATATTTTATTATTGATATATTTATAGAGTGATTTTATAAAACTAGTTTTATAAACATAATAGAATAATAATGGTATTAGTATTCTTGCATTATTTTATAACCTAGATTCAAATGAATTAGAACTTTTTTTAATGTTAGTACATGATTGAAACAATCAAATTTAATTGTATCATAACTAAAATTTTTGACTAATGAGTTTAAATTGTTTGACGTCGCAAAAAGTATGATTTTTTTTATAATGATATTAATTAAAGAAATTTATTGACAAGATTACTAAGCTTTTATTTCATTAATTTATGTTTGTAGGACTATAAAAGTAAAATATCCACTTTTATGGTATTTTTTAAAAATAAAATGTAATTTTAGAACTGATACCAGACAATTACAACACCAACTTAAGAAATATGCTTTATTAATAATTATAATCTTTTGTGAAATAGTTATTCAACATATGTTTCCCCAATGCTCAATGTAATGATTCATGTATTTCTGATGTTGAGAAACATAAATGTGTGGGTTATAACAGAATGTGTCAAAACTGAAAAAAAAGACAAAATTTTCATCAAATATGAAAAGTTTAGGATATTCATAATTATTTTATAGTGAATATATAATATATTTATTATTCAGATACATAAATGATAATATATTTTTCACTTTTACTCACAATGCTTACATTGATGCAAAATAAGATTTTTTTATAAAAAAATATTTTATTCTTTGTGACCAATACTAGAAAAAATTGTTCACAATTTAGACATTTTATTTAGCAAATATTCAAGCATGTTGATAACTGCTACCTACTTTATGTCTAAATAATTAAATCATTACCAAATTTTGAAATAATATATTGTAAAATAGTTTAATTCTTAAAAACAGTGTGAATTAAATGTCCATTTATCGTGAACAAAAAGACACAGTTATCGGATTCTAATCAACTAGTTAAAAAGCTAAGTTGATTTTCAGCTATAATTGATTTCTATGATTCATAATTTAGCAGTAACTAAAAACATGTATATAGTTAGCAGCAGATTTACTATCAGCAGATTATTTGTGGACGTGACTTTTGCGTAGGGGGTATGGTCCATATTTGAAACTTAATTTCTCGATAAATAAGTGTAACTAGTGATGTATGGCATCGTGCCTTAAAGCAAATTGCTGGAACTTCCTGTACTGTAATGAAATATTCGAGGAATAATAAATGCTTTCAAATAGATTATTATAAATACGGTATTTATTATTCTTATTTTATAGACAAAATATAAAAGCTTGGACAATGACGTTTATATATGTTTACAGAAAAGTAAATAAACAAAATTTAATCAATTGGATTTAAAATGAAAAAAGTTGTCTAATATTTATAAGAATTATACAAACTGAATTGCAAATGTTTAGAACTTTAGCTGGAATTATAATTAAAATCCGAAATTATTTCGATTTTAAATTTTTTTTGGAAATTAAAAAAAATCACAAAAGCAATCGTTTTGTCAACACAACCAGAAATATTTTGAACCGTTTAAATCGGATGCTTAGTTCTCTCAAAAACTGCCATTTTTTGAACATTTAGCTCCATCGAAACGGCTGGACCAACTTTTTCATAAAGCTAATCAGCACGTCTCCTTATCAATAGGAATCAACTATTTTTTGAATCATTCAAATCCGTTGTTCCATACACATATACAAACACATCATTTTTTTTAAGGTATGCCAAAATGCTCAGAAACCTCTGAAACATAAAGATATGCAAAAATTTTCAATTTCGATTTTTAGACAATTACAATAACTTACTCTACGGAAAGATAATAAATTGTATGATATTAATTAATGTTAAGGGGGTTGTTCGGTTTTTATTATTTTTTTTTTTTTTGATTTTGAGATTTTTTGATATTATGAAAGCTAAAAACCTTAGAATTTTTTTAAAAAAAAATCATCTCAATATCTATTTTTTTGACGAAGTTATAGATATATATCTCTATATGTATGATCCTCTGCTGCTCTCTTTTTCATTACAATACCTCATGCACATGACCTTTTTAATGTGTCAGCATCTTTGAACACCATGGTGTATTAGTACATTAAATTAAATGGTGTATTTAGTCATTATATTAAAACTTTAAATACGTTTTTCTCAAATTGACTTTTTTCAATGCGGTGCCACAATAAAAAAAAACTACAAGTCGGTCTCCTACTTTTTTTACAAATCAGCTTTAAAGTCAAACGTTCCTTAACATCCCGTAATGTGGTACATTTACCTCGAGGTAAGAGCATTCAAAGATAGTTTACAAATCTATGAGCTATTACTTATATACGGATTTGTGGAATCACGGGAAATATGATAATAAAACACAAAAATTGATATCCTTATTATATTATGTTACAAATATGTTACATACATAAAGTATAAATTAAGTAATTAATTTATTTATATATTGACACAATTGGTGCTCAAAAGATTTTGATAGGGATTAAAGTATGTCAAATAGGATATTCGCTTCTAATTTTTTTAAGATCATTTCGTAAATGTAATGCCGTAATCAGTGTTTAGCTATACCAATGAGGGACAAAAAAAGCCCATACCCTATGAAGAATGCAAGAACTTGTGTCTAGACAACCAGCTCAGAAGGAAATTTCTTTGCAGGACTAATTTCACAGGAGGCTTGCAATAGATTAGTAAATAGCGAATTCGCACCATTTCACTGTTAGTCACAACATAATATTTATTTGGCACTTCGCCCGCAATGCTTTCTGGGGCTTGGACTCGATTCCGATTTGGTTGGTCTAGAAATTAAAACAAGTTAGTAACAACTAATACAAAACAAAGTAACTCTGGTATTTAAATGATTTTGATGCCATTTATAGGCCTTTTAGAAAAAATACCAACTTTCAACTCCCTATCTCATCATTTGGCCGATATATCAGTGAAAGAGCCGCACTTGTAGAAAAATGAAACATGAAAAATTATTCACCTTTTCATGCACTAACAATTAATTTTTTCACATTATTTGTTATGAACAACACAGCCAAGATCAGTGTGAATAGAATCACATCAATATTTTTTCATATCTTTTATATTACCGACAAAAAGAGAGTTTGAAAATTTTCACATGTTTTCACTGATATCTCGGCCAAATGATGAGATAGGGAGTTGAAAATTGGTATATCGTATTTTTTCGAAAAGACCTATAAGAAGGCGTCCATTAATAACATGAGGTTTTTCGGAGGAGGGGGAAAGGAAATTTGACAAAAAATCACGATAAATCACATGGTGGAGGAAGTGGTATACTAAGATATCACGTGTATTTATTTTTTAACTGATTTTTTTTAAAAAAATCAGACATTTCAAAAAAAGTGGGGATGGGGTCCAAAAATCCATAAATTCTCGCTCACATGATTAATGAACGCCTCCTTAAATAGCATTAAAATCATTTAAATATCAGGGTAGGGCCGCTTCTGTTTGGAAACATGCCCATACCCTTTGTTACAAGAGTTAATTCAAGACATTTATTATTAGTGTAAATTAGAGTTTTTAAACTATATCAAGGATAAATAAATTATATAATATTGTCAAATATCGCGGACCTGATGCATGCTGGCATTTAACATATTCCTCATGGTCAATTAATTCACAGAGGGCTACACAAGCCAATTCAGACCCAACTTTGCTGGCTCCCCAGGCAAATCCAGTAGTACTATAAGGAAGACTTACTGAAAGCTCATTGTCAGGTAAATTCCTTTGCCAAATAATGAATTCTGAAATTTAAGAATGTGTTATAATCAGTTTTAAACCTACTTCAATTTTAGACGAAGAGAAATTATTGTATCTGCTCGCACATGGCTCTTGAAAG